CTGGTCTTTGGGAAGAGCGGGGTGAGTCAGGTGGGAGATGCTGTCCCATCCTGCAGGATTGACTGGATTGTATTTTGTTCTTGGAGCCTTTGCCTCTTGGGGTTTTTCTTGCTGAAAATTGAAAGAAAACACCTCTACAAAACAAATTTGGGGGCACAGTAAGGCTGAGTTTATTGAGAGGTTTCTCCTTGTTTGGTCTCCATGATCAAAAACCAAGCAGTCGGCAGCCACTGCTCTTTTCCATCCTACCTTTCCTTCTGTTGCCAACACTTTGGGCAATGGTAATTAAATATTACATTGTAATTGTAATTCAATATTACATTCTAGAAGTGGTCTCTGGAAGGGTTTTATGGCCAGACATGATAGTGCTGCAGTTTGGGCTGAGGCACGATGGGTTGTTGGGCTGTGCTCTGCTCTTAGGGCTGTAAATCCCAAGGAACTGCTCCCCTGAGGAATCCACAGGGGCACAGGAGGCACCAGGAGCTCAGGGAGCAGGTCTGTTCCTGGCCTGTGTCCTCCACCCCCTCACCTGGGCTGCTCCAGCTCTGCCCTAAGAGCATCAGGGGCCACAGATTATTCCTAATCCGGGTCACGGCAGTGGCTCAGCTCCCAGAGCAGCCTCAGGGACAGGTGTGGGGACACAAGCAGTGCCACCCTGGGCTCTGAGCTTGCAGGAAGGCACTGCAGTCCTCAGCAGGAGGATCCCTGTGGGTTCCTGAATAACTCAGGAGGGCATGTTGTGCTGAACCAGAGCATGGAACTGCCTGAGGAGCTGGTGGCTGACAGGTCTGTGCCGTAAACAGAGCAAATGCTGCAGGGCCTGAGGGTGAGGGAGCCCTGCTTTTAATGAGGTAATTGTTATTTAATAGTTTTTATCCATGTCAGGAGAATTTTGGGCCTCGCTTACACTGCCAAAGCTGGTGGTGAAGCATCAACAGCACGGCTGGGTCGATAAATGTCCCTCAGGGAGGCACCGCGGCACCTTCCCAAACCACAACAAACTACCTGGCACGAGTTTCCCTTCTCCTTCCCTGCCTTCCCACTGTGGGAAGGCTTTGGCCAGCACAGTTATGTCAGCTGAGGGGGGAGATATTATTCTTGCTCCTAATTGACACATTTGTGCCAGCAAAGCTCCAGCAAAATCCCCAGCCTCAGGTGAAGTTTTGCATTTGGGTTTTGGTTGGGGTTTTTTAGCAGCCAGGTTATATTAGATGGAGAATTTGTCTTTGCTTGTTCAGGCCAGGATATTGAGACAGACCTGCCTTTCTGAGGAAAAGCAGCCCCTGCTCCTTCTAGGCAAGTCTCCATTTCTTGGTAAACAATGTGTTTTATAGTGGTTAAATCTGAGGTGGAAAATAATAGGAATAAATGGGATATTGGTGTAGTTTGGCTTGCCTGTCAGTTGGTAACTCATCAGCATCTCTGGGGAGAGCAACCATTAAAAATTATCTCTTAGTGGTGCTGGTTTCTGAGTTTCTGTCACACTTGTCAGCCTGAACACCTTGTGTGGAGACCCAAGTTGGGAGTGGAGCAGATGGATCACATCCCTGCTTTACTACTGGGACAATAAAGGTAGGAAAGGGCTGATTGGTTTATCCACATCTGCTTAGTTTGTAACACTGGTAGATTTGTTCCTGGTCCAAAGCTGGTGCCTTGATTCCCTAATTTCCCTGCAGTCACCAGTTCTGGGTGCAGGACAAGTGTTTGTGGTGCAGCCGGAGAGCACTGCTGGCACTTGTGGGGCAGCAAACGTTGGGGACCAATGTTTTGGAGCAGAAAACATGGATTCTGCAGGAGTCCTGGTAGCCCTTGGCATTGGTGCTTATCTAGAAGCTGGGACTGCTCTTCTAAAGCAGCTTCATCTGTTCATCAGCTCCATCTAAACCAAAATGAATTAATGAATTCGTGAATTACTCTCTCAGGATCCATCATGGTTGGAGGGGCAGTGATACCAGGGGGCTGGAAAGCAGCATGGAGAGAGAGGATCTCACCTTTCCCTGCAGGAGGGCAGCTGCCAGAGCTCATGAGCAGAGCTGATCCTTCTCACACACCTACCTGCTCTTTGTTCTTTTAATCACCTGTCAGCACAGACAGGACCGCTCGGATATTCTTGCTGTTCTCTTGTTCTTCCCCACCCAGGAGCAGCCTCACGGCTCTCAGTGAATCATTCCTGTGTGGGTCTAACACTCTGAGCCTGGGGTAGGCTGAGAAAGTCTCCTCCAGAGCAGGCAGTGACTTGGGGGTGAGGGAATGTGTGACCAAGGAGCCATTCAGACCTTCCAAGGGGCTGTGGAGAAGGGAATTTCTGGGGACCAAACCTGCCCTGACAGTCTTGGGCTGCTGCACCAGTTCCCTAGGGGAGGGAGTTTGTAGGAGTGTGATTAATAGTGCAGAAAACAAGACAATTGTTTTAACCTGCACTGAGTGGCTTAAAGGCAGAGCAGATTTGTGTTTTAAAAACTCAGGTCACTGGTCAGTGAAGTCAAGCATCAGTTCCAAGCCAAGTCGTACATCTCTGGATCATGCAAGTGCATCCATTGCACCTTATCCTGTTTTTAGGGCCTGAGGTGACACCCAAAAGTCACTTGGTGATCTGGTCACCAGCATTAATAGTAGAATTTCTGCAGGACTGGAATTAGATGCATTTTTCTCCATTTAAAATCCATTCTCTGATGGGCTCATTTTTCATTAAGTCAAGCAAGGCACTTCATGAAGAAATATACGTGGAGTGTGTCAAATGATTCAAATGAACACGCAGATGTTAATATTTGCTTTATTGGTGTCAGTAAATGCTTTATTTGTCTGTTTGCCTGTTGTAAAAGTGTCTGTCTCAGGTCTCTCACCTCCAGCAGTGTTGTCCAGCAGCCTGAGGGTGCTAACTTTTGGAATTCCACACAAGTCAGGATGAGACTGTCTCCATTTATCCTTGAGCTGGGCTGATAGGAGATGATAAATGAGCCCTCACTTTCCTGTGATGATGGATACAACCAAACCCCATCCTAACTTTGTTTGGCATGTCAGCACAATCTGTTCCTTTATTGTGTGTAATTAAAAAAACCCATCAAACTGCAAACACTCCTTTAATTAAAGCCCCCACAGCCACAGTTTGTCATGCTCAGTGCTCTGTGTTTGTTAAATGATCTGGGTTTGATTGCTGAGGATGCACAGTGGGGTTGGGCAGAGATTTTAGGGTTTCAGGTGTTGGGATGGTGCTGAGGATCAGGGTGGTGTCACATTGCTAAAGGGGACTTTGTGCAGAGGGAGAAGTTTGCTCTACTCACATATGTGAGTGGAATCATGTTTATTATATATATCATGGCTAGGCTTCGCGAACGAAGATTTGGGATTATATATATAAATATATATAAATTGAGAGACTGCATCAATACCTGGTAAAATAGAGGGGGAAATACTCAGCTGTGTAAAGGGATTAAACCATCATGAAGTGGTATAACTATGTTCTTGGGACAAGGTTTTTCCTGTTGCCTGGTTGAAGAACCCCCTGTGTGAGGTGTTTCTCCAGCCATCTCTGTTTCTCTGTTGTGCTGAGTCCCAGTTCCAGAGCTGCTCCCTGGATTTCTCCCCGTGAGCAGTGGTGACCATGAAGGGATGGGCCTTTGTCCTCAGGGGTCATCCCTGCCTTGAGACAGCATTACTCTGCTGATTTTTGATGACAGTGTTTGTGGGTTTAGTGCAGATGGGATATGTGGCTGGTTGTCTTTCCTCCCTGGGATGGGAGGGAGGAGCAGGGCAGAGCCATTGCTGGTGCTGCAGGAGCCTTCACAACTTCCTGGGCTGTAAAGGCTCCCTTAAAAAGCTCAGCCCTTTATGCCCAGCGATTTGTTCTCTTCAATAGAGCTCTTCTGTTGAAGTTAAACTGCTTTTAAATCATGTACACAATGGCACTTTTGTCGGGGAGGCCTCTCGCTTTCACCCAGGGCCTCAGGAAGAGGGGTTGACATTCCAGGGCATTGTTCTGCTCCCATTCAACCTGGGCCCAGCCTCTGCTCCCGAGGTTGGCTGTCACCCACTTCTGCCCTGCCTGACTCTCCTTGTCCTAACACTGGGAATTAAGCTCTCCGGAGCAGGGCTGGATGGTTTTGGCAGAGGGACCTGTTTTCCCAGCAGGAGGTTTGGAGGGAGGGTCCTGGGCCACATCCTCCTCTCTTTGTAGGTTCTTTTGTGTTTGTTCTAGAAGGGGATAAACTTCATCTCTTCCATCAGCTACTTTAGTCATCTGTTAAATAAAACAAAGTCAGTAATGGGCTGCCCAGAGAGGTGGTGGGGTCCCATGCCTGGAGGTGCCCAGGGAATGACTGGACATTGCACTCAGTGCTCTTGGCTGAGGGACAAGGTGGTGTTTGGGCAAAGGTTGGACTCAGTGATCTTGGTCTTTTCCAATCTCAGTGACTCTGTGGTTCTGTGTTTTTATTTTGTGATGGCTTGAGCAGACTGAGGGGGTTAAACAGCCTGGGATGGCCCAGCTGCAGGAGGTTCAGTGAAAGCAGAGGTATGCTGGCAGGGCAGGTACAGCAATGAGAGAGCTACAAACACCCTCAGAGACTGTTAGTCATCCATTTGTTCCAGAGTTGCCTTTCACTGTTAGAATGAGAGCCAGTAACAAAGCATTTATTCCTGAGTGTAGATTACAGACTGTGTTTGCACTGGAGACGACCAGCTTTTCTAGTTTAGCCTTGTTCCTTTTCCAGAGATGAGAATTCCAGCTCCCAGGTGCTGCCCACTGTCCGAAACAGCTCCCACCTGAAGCTGCTCTGCAGATAAACGTGTCTTTGTGTTAAATTCCTCCCTTACAGCTCCTGTTAATTCTGCACTAGCCAAGGATTACAACAAAAGCCAGGTCTCTGTTTAGTATTGAACCTCAGAAAAGCTGTTCCTGTAAATAATTGTTATCAGTGTTACTACAGTTCTTACGTGCTCTGTAGAACAAGTTCTGCCCAAGGCAGTCAGATCTGAAGTGGTTGTTTTGTTTTGTTGTGCAGTGTCCAAAAAGCACGGGAAGCTCATCACCTTCCTCCGGACATTCATGAAGTCGCGCCCAACGAAACAGAAACTGAAACAGAGGGGGATCCTCAAGGAAAGGGTGTTTGGCTGTGACCTGGGAGAGCACCTGCTCAACTCTGGCCACGATGGTAAGAAACACTCTACTCCTGAGCTCTTCCTCCTGTGGGAATCTCATCTCGGGGTGGTTGGAACCACAGAGGGCTGAGGGTGGGTAACAAAAGTCGAGGGGGAAAGGGAAGCTGAGGGGAATGAGGAGAAATGTTGTGGTTTTGCGTGGGAAGTATCGTGGTTCAGTGTGGGAGCACTACAGATGCCTGGAACTGCTGAAGATGAGTTTTCAACCTCTTGAAGTCTTCAAATAATTCTTTTTCCAGGAAGATAAGTTTTATTTATACATCGGTGTCAGTGATTAATTAACAGGTGTGTTAAATCTCTGTATTTCTCTAACTTGATACCTTTGTATGATTCCAGCACAGTTCACAGTGTAAATCCTTCTTCTGCCTTTTCCCTTGATTTCACAGAATTTACAGGAATTAACTGGATATTATTTTTCGTCCCAGCTTACTTTTCTCTCTGTTGTGGTGAGATTTCTGGATCCCTTCTCAGTCACTTTCCCTTTCCAATCACCCCTTTAGGGAGACAGAGGAGAAGAGCTCTCCATTCCAAGAAAACTCTTCCTGGGATCAGCTTGGGTTTCACGTGCTTTTTCCTCCCCTCCCCCTGGGCTGTGCCCAGTCCAGGCTGTGCAGGGGAGGTACCTGGAGGTGCCAAGGAGCAAACAGAGCACTTGGATGCTGTCACAGAGACTTGGACGCTGTCACAGGTCACCAGCCAAGCTCGTTCCATTGACAGCCACGCTGAGGGGTGTTTAGCAAAGCAGGATGGAGCAGCCATGGGCTTACGCGGGAGTTAAAGGCATCAGGAAATCAGGGATGGAAGTAACATCACTGTCTGGCTGCATCAGCTTGGTCTGTTTGGTGGTTCTGCTCCTTGCAGAGGGTTTGCAGCAGTTCTTGTGCCTGAGTTGTTCATCCGATGTCTCCCAGCTTTTGTGTGCAGGCTGAGGGAGAAGTGATGGGACATTTGGGGCAGGAAGGGAGATTCTGTTGTTACTTCAGACTCCTGGTTCATCCAGTGCCTTTTGGAAAAGGGCTGGCAAAGGGCAGGGAGCTATTTCATGCACTTTTTCCATGCAGTTCGGTTGGTAACAGCAATGTGCATTCCCTCCCATGACACAAAGTGTTTTACTACCAGTTAGTGAATAATATGAGCTTGTTCTTATGGAATCAGGGCTGTGGGAAGGCTCTTTTCCCTGTTAATTGGAACCAGTAGGGATCTTTACTTCTGGGGCTTGGAAAGCATCAGAGAAGCCAGAACCTGGCTGGTTTGGAGACAGGAACAGAGAGTAACTCCTGTAAGAGCTGCAGCAGGAGTTGGGAATTCACACCATGGTAACTATGGAGCTGGGTTTGTGTTCATGCTGTGGGAGCAGCCTTGCAGGGCAGGAGCCATGCCAGCAGTGAGCTCATTAGTGGGAGAGGGAACATTCCCTTTATCCCCAGCCCTCTCCATTTTCATGGGCACAAGTCAGCCATAGCTGAAGCTTTGCCCTGCCCTCTCTTCCCCTGCCTTTAAGGGTACGTGTTTTATTTAGCATTAGAAGACACATCCTGAGCTGAACTGCACTGTTCTAACCCAGTGTTTGACAGTCTCTGGGAGCTCTGTCCTTGTCCTGGTCACTGCCCACTATCACACAGGATGGGGTGACTCTGCCTGAACTGTGCTAATGAGGGCCCTGCAGCTCAGAAGTCATCACTTGCTTTCCCTCTTGATTTAATAACTCTTTCCTAACTCCCTGGAGTGCAGCAGATCCAATTTGAGTGTTGCTAACAGGGGCATGGCTCCATTTCCCACAGCAGGATTGTTGTTTTCTGGGTGATTCAGCTCCTGACCTGTATTCCAAGTGACGTAATCCCGGGATGGGTTTTGTGGAGACGTTTCTGGGGCCCTGTGAACTGAGCTCTGTGCATGCACAGCATTTTAAGACCCCCTCCTTCTGTAGCATTAATGTGGCTCAGTCCTGGAGCCAGAGGCAGTGCTGACCTGCTGAAAGGTGTCAGGGAGACCCTGAGGTGAATTAGAGCATAACCAGCGCAAGGAATTTTCTGGGAGCACAGAGAACACTGTGGCTGAAGTCTGTGTGTGGTACCTGCTGGCGATGCTTTGGGATCACAATCTAAGTTCAGAAGAACAAAAAGAACCCAATATATTCATTGATTTGTTTAAGTGAATTCTAGTTTTGGTAGGTCAGTGTCCAATACCCAGAAATATTTAGGAGGACTGAAGGAGCAAATGACACCAGGCCCAGAAACTGGAATGAGTGACGTGCTGACATTGAACCAAACTGGAGTTACTTTAAGAATTTTATTAATTATCAGCTTTAGGAAGCTGATAAAGCCTAAATTCTCAAAAATGTGCTGTAAAACATGAGTTTTGCAGTCATGAATATTTGAAACTTTGCTTGTCTTTCAGGTGGGAATTGGTGAGTGAGAAGCGGAACGAGAGAATAAAAGGGATGAGGACAAAAGCTGCAATAGGTGTAACATTTTTTAATAAAGCCTCTGCTGAGGCAGCTGGCTCAGAGTGCTTAGGCGGGAGAGGAGTGTGTTTGCTCTGTGCCCAGAGGGGGACTGACAAACACGGAGATGTTTTAACCTCCTGCAGTACCTTGTCTTTCTGTGGGCTCAGCAAGTCTCCGCTCGTTCTGCAGCCGTCCAGCCTCGCTGGGAGGGAGAATAAATTGCCATGAGCTGCACAGGAGGAAAGTGATGCAGAACTGTGACCTGGTTTGATGGTACAGAGCAGGATCCCATCCTGCAAAGGTCCACCTTCAGCACACACCGAGCTCTGACCTAGCAAAGCCTTTGTTGTGGTTTACCTGAGGTTTTGGATTGTGGTTTCCCTGAGTTTTTGAGGTGAAGCCAGTACTGTCCCTGCTGGCAGGTGCCTCTCAGGCTGGTGGGACAGAGCATGCAGCTGATATTTGGGACAGGACGGTCTGTGCCCAGAGATTGTCCTCGGGGAGGGTGTCTGGGTGAGGTGGGATGGATGGAGCAGGGGCTGGTGGTGCTGCTGCCTTGGTTGCTGTTGGTGAGGAGGTGGTTGGTCATTTCCCTCATTGTGCTGGGTGGATCTGAGCAGTGACACTGAGCAGGAATAGAGAGGGAGGCGAGGATTTGAACAAGTGTTTGCAAGAGCAGTGTGAGGGACGAGGCACCTTCAAATCCTCCTGTGTGCCTGGTGATTCATGGTGGGGATTGAGGTGATCTCTGGGCAGTGTCCTGGGGTTTGGTGTGTTTGTTGTTTAATTCCAGTTTGTGTTGTGCTGACACTGAGCTCTCCAAACAGTGCTGGAGCCCCTCTGGGGTAGGAGTGCCACCTTCTGTGGTGCCCAGCAGTCCTTTCCCCCAGGCCCTGGGAGAGCAGTGAGGGGAAGGAAGCATCACTGTCCAGTCTCTCAGGTGAGGTTCTGAGTCATGGGCAGATCACAGGATTATTTTCCAAAATCATTTGTGTTCCAAGCTGCTTGGGAAAGTGGGAGTTAGGAGCCTCTGTGCTCCCGGTGTATTGCTCCCAGTGAAAGTCTCAGCAGTCAGTGCCTTGGTTCCTCTCCTGTCACATGTCAGCACTGAATGATGGGCTGGGCCCTGCAGGAGTAGAACTGGTTTTGATAAGGAGGGATTTTGAGCTCCTCTGTTGGGTCTAAATCTGGCACAGCCTGTGGTGATGCTCCCTTCAAGTATGTTGGTTTGCACAATATTTCTCCAGTCGACTCTGTCTGCATCCCATCCCAGTCCTTACTCATCCCTTGGCTCCTGCTGGGGTTAGATCCTTCCCCTGCCAGGGTAGTGTCAGTTGGAAGCAGCCCAGGCTCAGCAGGGAGGATCTGTTTCTTCATCACCCTCAGAGGTGCTCCCAGTTGGTTTGGAGCTGTTCACACCTGCCATGGTTTGGTTTTCCAGAATCACGGGATATCCTGAGTTGGAAGGGACTCACAAAGCTCATCAGTCCAACCCCTGGCCTTGCACAGACACCCCAACAACCCCACCCTGTCCCTGAGCATTGTGTAAACACTCCTGGAGCTCTGGCAGCCTTGGGGCTGTGCCCACTGCCCTGGGGAGCCTGGTCAGTGCCAACCAGGCACTGGGGGAAGAACCTTTCCCTGAGATCCAACCTGACCCTGCCCTGACTCAGCTCCAGCCGTTCCCTCGCATTCTGTCACAGTTCTCTGGAGCTGTGAGATTCAGTAAATTCACCCTAATCCCTGACTCCTGAAGAGACCTTGGTCTTGTTCCCTTTGTAGGTAGATATTCTTTTTTCCCCCAAATTCTCCCGAAGGAAACCAAACAGGCCTTAAATTTAGCTCGAGCCCAGTGAGAAGGCTGTGCTCGCAGAGGGTGTTTGCTGAGCGTGGGAGCTGCTGAAGTGCTGCATTGCAGCATCCGCTCCATGGCCTGGTTCGTGCCTCGGAATGTTTCCACCCGGAGCTCCCCCAGAGCCCAGGATGTGTGACACGGGTGGGAGAGCAGGGATGTGAGGAGGGATGTCCCGCTGGGCTGCAGAGGGGCAGTGCCTGGGGAGCTGGGCACGTTCCTGGAGCTGGTGGAGGTCCCAGGGTTACGGAGCTGCAGTTCCGGGGCCGTTCTGCTCCCTCGGGATGGGTCAGCAGCACCAGGGAAAAGCCACAATCCCCTCGTGGGAAGGAGGGAATCCTGAACTGCAGCACAGGAGGGGTTACTGTACTTCTTATTCAAATGCTCTGGGAATGATGTGCTGGGATTGCTTAGACTGCAGCGGATGGGGTTTAGAATCCTACCTGTTCTCCCCACCAGATATTCCTGTCGCCTGGCACTTGTTGGGAATGACCCTTTCGCTCCCAGTGTTTAGACCAGAGCACAGGCTTAGCCCTGGTGCACCCCAGTATGGTGATGTAAAGTGTTCACCTCAAGGGATAATCCATCTCCACAGCCCAGCTGCATCCAGAGGATTTTGTGGGCTAAAAGCAAATGGCATTTTTTGTACTTCATGTCTTGGTCACATTGATACATCCCCAGCTTCTGTCAGGGGA